GCTGTGTTCGCTGCTCCCACCCAGTCTCAAGAGGGCGTATCTACCACACAGCGCTAGCCTGGGGAAACATGAAAATTCAAAGTACAGTTTCTACCAAATGCCTTTTGCTTTCACACCATCATAAAGTTGAAAAATCTTAAGTCGAACCATTGTAAGCTGAGGCCATCTGTAGGTGTATTAAAAGAAAGTATAGAGTCTTTCAGGGGAAGAGATTCCTAAAAGAATAAGAAACGCTGCTCTAAAATCTCATTACACATCTCGATCATCAGTTGCTTTTCTCCTGATCAGTATCTGTCCGAATAAGATGCTACAGATATATTCACACCAGAAGGGATGGGAAAGTTAACAAAAGTCTCCAAGGCCCACCTCTGTCAGTCATCACACAAAGGGTTTTATATATCTCCTCCCTCATCTGTTCTTCAGAACAAGGTGGGCACAATATTACTTTCGTGTCCGTTTTACAGATGAAAAAACAGAAATTGTTCCCTTAATATCATTATACAGAGAAGCTGTCTTCAACTTCTCTTTTACCCATTTGGCCTGGGAGGTACAAAGAAGCATAGAAACACCTTCCCTACTCATAAGGGCTTTAGTCTCAAGGCGCTTTTCTGCCCAGGCTGTTCAGTGCCCTCAGCAGCCCCCCAGCTGGGTGCTGCTTTTCTCTTGTGTGGGAAAGTCTAAGTGGGGGTCAACAATCATTGGCTGTCCTTAGAGGGAGACGTCTCTGTCCAATGCAGCATCTGACTGCACAGATTTACCCAAGACTGAATGCCTGTTTGGCCCAGAAAATCCAAGCTTTCCCTGGTCTTCTCTGGCCCTGTAGCTTGAGCTAATTAATATTAATGCTACAAATAATAAGAGTTGGCATGTGCGGGGTACATACCAAACCCTTTATATTAGGACCTCATGTTATCCTACGACAACCCTATGGAGTTGATATTCTTACTGCCTTTTGATGGATGGAGGACCTGAGACTCTGAGTGGTCCTACCACTGGCAGAGGGGTAACTTGACCTTGGTTCCAAGCCCAACTCTTAGCCCCTAGGCCAGTGGGTCTCAAGACGTAGGCCACACAGGTCAACTTCATTGGGGGCTCATTTTAAGTGGGCAGATCCCAAGGTCATAATCCAAACCCAGTTGAGCTAGAATCTCTGGATCCGAGACTGGGAGCCTAAGTTTTAATCAGATTTCTCTGATGATTCATTCCTTCGCACATCAAAATTTGAGAACCGCTGTAACATGCTATGACTGAGGGAAATTTCCCAATTGCAGATTTACATTTACCAGGCAAGGGCGCTCCATACCTACTAGAACCTAAACTTGGGCATTAGTGCACAGATAATTGTAAACAGATCGCTCTTGTAATTCAGGCAAAAGTCACCAACCGTTCCCATCCTCACTATTGGGTTTACATAGAGTAAAACCAATTCGCTGCACTTTTTTACTTCATATCTATCACCAGGGGATGTGAGCTCTCTGATAACGGAATGAGGGCTTGGAAAAGTCCAAGAATCTGAAAGCGCCATGGCCAGAGGCAGAAATCAGGAGAACTAGAACCACTCACTAAAATGGGCATCCGTGAAATCCTCCTTCCTTGTGAGCACCCAGCTTAAGTGCCTATGCCCCTTTGCCCAGTCTCAGATCAATACCTCCTCCCCTTGATTCCACAAGATGCCCGGTGATCTGAAGGGCTGGACAGGTGTCAGAGTCTTGTGGATGAGCTTCATATGAATCTCGAGGAGATAAAACCAGCAATATATTTGGCTGCCTCTTGAACCCTGGAGGGGAGGAAGGAACCCCTGGAGGAGGAAGAGGAGGGAATGACCCAGTCCTAGATGTGGCTGTTACATATCAGAGTCTGAAAAATGGATGTACAAGTCATGGTCATTCCTAGGAGACCCAACTTAATTCAGGTGCTGCTTGAAGAGCCACTTGCTGTCAGCCAGGACTGGGACAGTGATAAACCATACAGAGAGGATAGGCATGGCTCTGGTGGGCAGAACTTCCGGTCTAGTTCTAGTCAGGAAGACGGACATTACACCGGTAGCTAGCGTGCCCTGTGAGGATCACAAAAAGGGAAATATGGCTATGAGGGACCAGTAGGCCCCCCTGAGGAGGTAGTGCTTACGAGAAACTTAGAGTTAACTGGGAAAACAGGGCGGGGACCTGAGGGGGTTGAGGCTGGGGAAGGAGAAGTAGGATGTAGGTGGCCCGGGTTCCTGGCAGAGGCCGAGATGAGGCAGGGTACCCCTATGTGGAACTGAAAAAAGAACCCCAAAGCATCAAACCACACACAGACTTCAGAAGTCTGACTATGACTGACTGTGATTTTCTAAAGCAGAGTTCATAACGTTTTCTCCGTGAAACGTCAGTCTTGAAATCAGACAGCTGTTACAGGCCGTGACAGCCATGTTGAGTGAGAAAGTTGGTATCTGTCGGGTTCATGTGCCATTCACGAGTGCTTCATCTGGCGGGTTAAATTCGTCATCCCGTTTTCAGAAATGTATCCGGGAAAACGAACATCCAAGGACTGCTGCCTCTCTGATTTGTTCCTGATGGTTACAGCTCTTCTAGAATGTTCTTGTAATAACTCCATGCCCCCTTTGAAATCTGAAGGGAATATAAATGATTACAGTTTGCCAGCTGCTTTTGTAACATATGCTATCTTTCAGGAAAACTGATGAGGACACAGGCTTTTACGTAGTATAGTTAATGACAGTTTTTCAGAGGCTGAAGCTCAGATGTCCCTTTGAGAAAAATCGGTGGCACTCTAGACCCACCAAATCCAAAGATGGTATTTTCGTATTCTTTCTTAGGTCATGTCTCTTTCTTACACTCCACATTTGGTTTTGAAGCTTATTCCTCTGTCCTATCATTGGACTGATCATTTCCTCCCCTCTTTAGATCGCTCTGCAGAGGCTACAACCCGAAACCCCTTAAGAAATGGCCTAAAATCATCCAATATCAGATCTTCCTCTACAAAATGGCATCACCTGTCCACACAAAAATTCCATCCTTCAAATTAAGAACTAGCCCTTGTTCTTAAAAAAAGGAAAAGTTTTTGATTTCAGATGGATGTTCCCAGGTAGCCTTCTCCCGTGTGAATACATCAACCACTGAGTTTCACACAAATAAAAGTAGTATTTAAGTGCCATTGGTATGGCTCGTCAGTTCTCTCTCCTGTATTTCTAAGATTTTTTTTATTCATTTATTTAAAAGAGAGAGAGAACAGGCAGGGGGAGGAGCAGAGGGAGGGGGAGGAGCAGAGGGAGAGGGAGAAGCAGACTTTCCACCAAGGAGGGAGCCCAACGTGGGGCTCGATCCCAGGACCCCTGGGATCACAACCTGAGCTGAAGGCAAACTCTCAACCAACTGAGCCACCCAGACGCCCCTCTCTCCTGTATTTCTAGTCCTACCCAGTCAAAAGAGTCAACCTTGATAAATGCCTGGGACTGGATGTCCCACAATCTGTGATGACAGAGAGTTCTAGAAGCCTCAGGCATCTTCATAATCAGCTTGGATTTTATTATTAAAATTTGACTTTGGGATGCCTGGCTGGCTCAGTCAAAGAGTGTGTGACTCCTGATCTCGGGGTGGTGGGTTCGAGCCCCACAATGGGTATAGAGATTAAATAAATATTTTTTTAAATTTTGACTTTAAAAGAATTAAGTTAATAATGTACTGTTCTGTCAGAACCACTATGAGATACTACAAAACACACCTACTAGGATGGCTATCATAAAAAAAAAATAAGTGTTGGCAAAGATGTGCAGAAATTAGAACCCTTGTACATTGCTGGCAGGAACGCAAAATGGTTCAGCTTCTATGGAAAACAGTTTGGTGGTCTCTCAAAAAGTTAAAGATAGAATTACTATATGATCCTGCCATTCTACTCCTATGTATATACCCCCAAACAATGAAAACAGATACTCAAAAAGGACATCTACACACATGTTCATAGAAGCACTATTCACAATAGCCCAAAGGGGGGACACATTCCAAACATCCATCACTGGATGAATGGATGAACAAATTGTGACATATCCATTCAGTGGAATATTAGTCAGGCATTAAAAAGGAACGAAGTACTGATACATGGTACAATGTGATGAACCTTCACAATGTTAAGGTAAAAGAAACCAGACACAAAAGTTCACACATTGTATGATTTCAATTATATGAAATCTCCAGAATAGATAAATTTATAAAGACAATGCAAGTCAGTGGTTGCCAGAAGCCAGAGGGAAGGAAATGGGGAGGAACAGCTTAGTGGGTGAGGAGTTTCACTTCGGAGTGATGGCAATGTTTTGGAACTAGTCAGAGGTAGTGGTTGCACGATATTACATAGGTACTGAGTGTCACTGAATTGTTCACTTTAAAATGGTTAGTTTTACGTCGCATGAGTTTTACCTCAACAAATAGTTTTTTAAAAACAGAAAAAAATATAATGTATTGCCTTGCAAAAAACTTCAATAAGTACAACATTTTATTGCTGCAAGGAACCTGCCAAATCAGTAATTCATACACATTTCTAGAAGTGAAGAAACCTTGCCTGAACTCAGGAATAGAGCAAACGTCTTCTAGTTGTTTTGTTTTTCTTGTCCATCAGCCTTTAGTGAGAGAAAACCTTGTGAAACTTATTTTTGACCAGTCTGTCCATGCACTTCTCTCTTAGAATAACTGCACAGAAGAATTTTAAACTTGAATAAATGTGGCTGTGTAGGTAATCCTCCCTGCTGGAGGGGAAAAATTATCTCCATGGTTTTAGAGTGTCTTTTGCTTTAGATAATGCCCAAGGTATTTACTTCAAGCAAATTCGGTACGGCAGTCTACAACACTCATCCTGTTACTCTGTTTTCTCTCCCTCATCCTCTACACTGCCCCAACTGCACGCTGAATTCTGGCTAGTTTCCTTTCTAAGTAATGTTCTCTCCCCTGGATTTTTGTCATCTTTTCCATTTCTCTAGCTCCTCTCTGATCATTCAAACATATACAGGAATATGGATTTTATTAAATTATTTTAATTATAAAAAATATTGTAAGATTAAAAGCATAAGTATAAAACTTTAATATAAGATATATTGCTTTAATTAAAAAAAAACACAACCCTTTCTTTTAGAGAAATTTGTTCTTGGAAACTAATACCTAGTATGACTTAATCAACTGAAAACTATCTTCTTAATTCCGTAAATCTGTTTGAAGGCATTTGAACACCAGATCACAGGGACTAGAATAACAGCTATTCACATATTCACATTCTCATGAATGGTTCTTTTTAATGTAATTATGGGATTTCAGATGTACAGCAACGTTTCCAAAAAAAAAAAAAAAAGGCAAATGGATAAAACATTAGCTTTTTGGCACTTGCTTTGCTATGGACTGAATGTTTGTACCTCCCTCCCCCGCCCCCACATCCGTATGTTGAAATTGAGTCCCCAGGGTGATGGTGTGTGGGGGTGGCTGAGTCAGGAGGGTGGAGCCCTGATGATGGGACTTTAGTGTCCTTATAAGAAGACACTGGAGGGAGATGAGCTCTGAACCCAAACGTGCTGGCATTCCCTCAGACTTCGGGTCTCCAGAACTGAGAGAAATAAATGTCTGTTGTTTAAGCCACCCAGCCTGTGGTATTTTTGTCAAAGCAATCCAAAAGAAGACGTGCCTTTTGATAACTAAAAAAAGAGTCTTCTCGGACATCAGTATGATGACTCAGAGCCACTAACTAATGTTTTTGTCAACTGTCCCCAAGGAAAAGACATTCTTGCCTCACAAAGAGCCAAGACGCTAGAAAAGGAAACACGTTTCTTAAAGGAACAGAGGAGAGTTTTTTGGCTTATTTGTTGTCTTTGTGACAAATAACATGCTAAATTCCAAGAATAAGGAACTGAACGTTTTCCTCTTTTCCTTGATCAGTGCCCAACACTTGACATTTCTCAAGCATCCTCTTCACATAGAACATTCTCTCACTACATAATTCTGTAAGACGTGCCAGGTGAGAAACATCTGCTTTCCACGTGTTGGGGTCACTGTGGCTGGCTCCCCAATAAAAACCTCAGTCTCAGTCCAAGCAGTTGTAATAACACAGTCTCTGGCATGACCTGTGTGTCTGCAGCGTGGGATGAAGTGGGGGGAGATATGGAACCAGCCCTGGGATATGACCTTCACTGACACTGCATCTCGAATATAATGCCAATTGTTCCGCAAACAAACCACTTCTCAGAAGAATCCAGGAGCACCTTCAGGAGCTGAGAATAACCCACAGAAACCTGCCTTGCTCTTCTATAATTGACAAGGTCTGTGGAGAAGAGAGTAATTTCTGCGTGACAACAAAGAAAGTCATTTCCAATTCCGTCCCGCGAGAGAAAAAAGAAAACAACGTCAGTAAATATTTATTAAGTACTGTATGAGTTTGCTGGATTGCCATAATAAAATACCACAGATTGAGTGGTTCAGATGACGTGGAAATTTATTTTCTCATGGTTCTGGAGGCTGGAGGTCTGGGATCAAGGCGTGGACAGGTCTGGTTTCTTTGGAAGCATCTTTCCTTGTAGAGGGTTGTCTTTTCCCTGTGTCCTCTCGTGGTCTTCCCTCTGTGTCTGCATCCTAATCTCTTCTTCATTAAGGACCCCAGTCAGATTGGATTAGGGCCCTCTAGTGGCCTCATTTTACCTTAATTGCCCCTTTATTTTTTATTTTATTTTATTTATTTTTAAAGATTTTATTTATTTATTTGACAGAGAAAGACACAGCAAGAGAGGGGACACAAGCAGGGGGAGTAGGAAAGGGAGAAGCAGGCTTCCTGCGGAGCAGGGAGCCCGATGTGGGGCTCCATCCCAGGACCCTGGGATCATGACCTGAGCCGAAGGCAGACGCTTAATGACTGAGCCACCCAGGCGCCCCTTAATTGCCCCTTGAAACGTTTTACCTCTGAATATGGTCACATTCTGTCTCCACAAAGTTTTTCCTCCTAATTCAACTGGCCAACGTAGTCCACAAACCTCCCCTTCCATTTAATCCCTGTCTTTTGACCCAGGTAAATGCTTTTATTATCTAGATACCAGTCACAAATCCCAATCCAAGCCTCGGTAAAACCATGTTGTATTTATGTCACCTTATTCAGCTTAAGGGTATTTTTCTTCCAGTTCCCTGTGCCTTGATTTATAGGTAGGTGCTTTTAATTGCAAGCACACTTTCCAAATTATTTTCTTATTCTCTTAGGCTGAGAATTATCAGTTATTTCCTACATTTCATTTCTTCTTCCCGTCGCCCCTATTAACTTTCACGGTAACAAGCTGTACACTTTCATCTGAGTCTTTTTTCATTCTTCTCTCAAGCGTCTCTGCTTTTAGTCCTCTCAATCAAATTAATGAATCGTCTGCTAACCCCAAGCCCTCTGGTACCCCTCCCTGAACAGAAGCTCGCTCTTCTGGTATCCTCCACTAGGATCCGCTGCAGACGTATCTCTGAGCTTGACATTGAACACAAGACGGCTCTACCGTCTACAGCCACATTTCTTCTCACACGTGGAAACTGCTCATTTTCGACCACAGGGAAGCGTGGCAGAAACAGACGGCCTGTCTGAGAGACCCCCTGGTACTCAGCATCTCTTGTTTGGAATGACCTTTAATAGGAACGAGGACAAGAAAAATACAGCGAAGCATGGAAAGCTCTGAAAACGCGCGCGGAGACCTCTACGAACACCGGACGTACTGTTGTTTGCAGCATTATTTATGGTGTGGTTGTAGTATCTGGGCGCATTCACAGCTATTGATGGAACCCAACTGTGCTTCTCCAGAGACAGAGCAACCCAGAAAGGAAACTTCAACATGGGCAAGAACAATAAATATCAAACTTTCTGATCTAAAATGTATAAATACAAAATATCAGTCACTTCAGGAAACGTCTTAAGAAAATCCACAACCGCACGTCCACGGGTAGGTGTCTGGGGTCGACGGTGCTAATCTTCGGAACACATCACCTTAGATCCAGCATGGTTATTTTTATGTCTTTTACCAACACATGTTTGCATATCTAGGTGAGAAAAAAATTGGTTTTACATCATAATGTTTACCCTGGTTCTCTGCAGAAAGGGAATATGAATTTCCTAGCTTAAAAACGTTCCTAATTTTGAAAATGTTTCCGATCAGAACAAATAGAATCGTATTTATTCATTTCCAACCGAAACACACGTACAGACGTTGCCAAGTAATTGTCATTTTAAGTAGATTCTAACTTCAAAATAATGTTTCTCTGACGTTACCACCAGAGAACCACGAGGCAAGCATTTAGAAAGAAAAGATGTAGTCAAATAGTGTTTCTTTGGGGCTATACATAGCTAACCAAGAAGTATGCTTACAGTTTTCAGTGTACTGTTATGAAAAAATTAATCTGGCCACATCGGGCAGAAAGAATTTATGAGACACTAAATATCATTTTCTTTCATTGTGCTTACTTGGGGTCTGAGGAAAACTGCATTTCCTTAAGTATCACAGAGAAACATTTAGAAATGGAAAGGTAACTTTATGCACAATCAACTGTGCTACAGAGAAACTGGTATTCTCTTGTAAATAAAATGATCGTGCAAAGAAATCAGAAGTAACTACAAAGCTTGATTAATTTTCAGGATAAGAAAGCCCCAAACTAAGCACTTCAGTGTTTTATCCCATATTATACTGTTACTGTTTCTCTCCTTCAAGGAGAAAAGAAAAAAGGAAGAGGTGAAAAATAAGTATCTGTAAAAAAAAAAAAAAAAAAAAAAATAGCCAGCGCAGTCTACTCACACTGAACAGCCTGGGGTCCTTGGTGTGTGGATGAAAACCCTTCTTTTTACAAGCAGAAACCTCGAGCATGCCAGCGTTGGTGAGTCTGAAAATGCCAGTGCTGTTACAGGGTGGAAACAAAAGGAATAGAAATTTAAGATCATTTGGCTTTCCAGGGCGAGCAGGTGGGGGAGGAGGGGGAGAGAGAGGGAATCTTAAGCAGACTCCACGCTCAGCGAGTAGCTCGACGCAGGGCTCGATCTCATGACCCTGAGCTGAAATCAAGAGTCTGACGCTTAACCTACTAAACTGCCCAGGCGCCCTCCATAGCGATCTTTTAAACCAATTTTGCAACCACTGGCCCAGACAGAGAAACTCCCGAGGGGCCAAGGCGAACTCCACGCACCTGCTGGGCTGCAATGGGGAAGAGGGGCAGCTGAACTGTCCTGTGAGACCGGAATGGAAAATGGAGGCCCCGTGGGAGGAAATCACAGGTGGAAAATATTTCTACTTTCTCTAATAACACAGACACTGTTTAAAGAAACAGCAAATATTTGTCAAGTGCTAACTGTGGGACCAGGCACTATGCTAAGCCCTTTCTACACATCAGCTTCTTCACATCAATCCCGACGGGTGGTGTCAGAGATAAAGAGACTGAGGCTCATAGTGGTCAGGTATCCTGCTAGTCACACACCATTTGAGGCTGGAGGCAGGATTCCACTCGAAGTTTGTCTGACTCCTCTGCTCATAATCACTCTCTCACAGTCATTGTCTCCCAAACCTAGAAAGGCTTTGGAGGTCATTAAGCTAAGGCTAGAAATTTTCTTACAACAGGAGAATCACGATCTCAAAAGGCAAACTGAAATAATATCCAGTTTATCCACTTGGAGATCATGCTCACTAAGTAAAGAGAGCCAGTAATTCTACTATGAAAGGACCTTAAAAACCAAAAGACTGCTGAGCTATCAGTAAAAGGGAGCTGGCTGGCACCAATCTCTGCTTCCCAAGGGCACTGGGTGCCTGCCTATCCAAGAGCCACCACCTGCCACGTGGACGCACTTGAACCCAGCAGCCCCAGACAACGCCTCACTTGGACCCCATCCACAGGTACACTTACTCTTTATGCTTTGGTGAACAAACAATGGCAATAGCCTCTGGCAGCATGAGCTGATAGGAACAGTGAGTGTGAAGATCAACACTGGACAAGAACGCAGTTTGGGTCGGGTGTGTCTATAAACAGAAAAGAGGACAATCTTATTGGAGGAGTTGTCTTAGCCGAGGCCACAGCCCATTCGAAGAGAAATCTCTCGTAATTGGCTTTTTCTTTTTTACCGTCATTAATCAAATCAGGATTTTAAAAAATATGTTGCTGACATAATCCTTCCCCTCATGCACCTTGGGAATAACCACGACTTTGAGAAGAGGCTCTTGGAAGTGTTCATGCACTTTCTGCTTATTAGAACAGACAGAACTCTTCTCATCACAACGCAGCTAGGGGATGCTTCTATTAGCATCTCAATTTCACACACAGGATCCCGAGGTTCCTTTAAGTAACTTGCCCGTGGTCACACAGCTGGTCAGGAACACAGCTGTGATCGGAAACACAGAGATACTTTATACAAAACCATGGACACAAAAGGAATGCTTTCAATGAATTTACCACATTTTGCTGTGTGTCCTTTTGTGGATCATCATTCCCTACAAATGGGAGAACAGAATTCTCTGGGTTGTTGGAGGCGTTTGGGACTCATCTCCTACAGTAAGTAAATACCCATATGATGAGAAGGAATGGGAGATTATAAATCGAAAGATGTGTCTTCCAGGTTTTTGGCTATATACAAGCTTGTGTATACGAGAGACAGATCATAGGTACACACTTGAATATGAAAAATACCTGCACCCAACATGATTTTAAAATTCACAGTCAACCCCAGTTACCCTTGAAAAAGGAATGTGACCACTTTAAGCATGAAACCAAGGTCCCCGGCATGCACTGTCTGGGTCCTAGGCCCATCGCTCATTGGCTGTATGATACTAAGATTAACCTCCTCATGCCCATTTCATCAGCCATAAAATAAGGACAGTAATCATTTTCTTCATGGGGTTGCTACATTAAAATTAAATGAGACAATCCATGTAAATTCTTAGAATAGTGCCTAGCACAGAAAGGAATCAAAATCATTCCCTGTGTTATTGCTGTTGTTATTTTAATATCATCTTTTTTTTTTGAGGGAAGCAGGGGGAGAAGGAAGAGAGAATCTCAAGCAGACTCCCTGCTGAGCATAGAGCCCCATGTGGGGCTCGATCTCATGACTGAGATCGTGACCTAAGCCGAAACCAAGAGCTGGAGGCTTAACCGACTGAACCACCCATGCGCCCCAATATCGTCATTATTAACTAAAGGGCACGGCTTCATGCCTTTACACGTAACTATGGTCTGCTAAAGAAATGCAGGATATTACAACTCATTTCCACTTTATTTAACAGATTTAACAGAATGAAAGTAAAAGTCATTGATATCTATTTACAGAAGTTATGTATTCTGTGAGGAAAAAGTAACTCTTGGTCTTGGTCTACAAAGATGGAGGTCAACTGAGGACTGGAAATTACCCTACCTTTTTATTTTATTTTTTTAAATGTTTTATTTATTTATTCATGAGAGTCAGAGAGAGAGAGAGAGAGGCAGAGGCAGAAAGAGAAGCAGGCTCCCCGCCTAGCAGGGAGCCCGATGCGGAACTCGATCCCGGGACCCTGTGATCATGACTTGAGCCGAAGGCAGACGCTTAACCGTCTGAGCCACCCAGGTGCCTTTATCCTACCTTTTAAAACCCAAAGCTTTAGTGAGGGTATGAGTAGGAGGGTCTGACTGCCTGTTCATCTGATTCAATGCAAACCTTCTGTTACTACATAGAACTGTCTATGCCTCGGTGAGAAAGTAAGAATTGCTCAATGGGACTCCAGCGCTGTGGAGGCGGCAAGCAGACTGTCAAAGAGACAAATCACTCTGCCTGTCCATTTATTTGCAGACTGAAAGCACATTTCTGCCAGGAGGAATCACTGCTACTCAGATAATAATAGCTCTTCCATGGGAAAATGGCGCTCCCACCTCACGCCCTCGATGGAAATAAAAATGACCATGACCATGGCCAGGACCATGATGATGAGGATGGCTGCAGATGTCATTCGCTCAGGCACTGAGCAAATCACCTTCCATGCATTACCTCATTCAACTCTTACAACAACATGAGAAAAGTGCTATTACCATGCCCATTTTACAGATGAGAAGACTGAGGTAAGCACAAGAGTAAATAATGCCAACGTTCAGGGAGCCAGTTAAGCTAAGTCCACATGCGAATCTAGCCCTATTTGATTCTGATTCAGCCCTTCTTTCCTAGGACTAGCTTACATCTGAAAAAAAGCTAGCTCTGGAATGTGTTGCTACTATTATTCAATAAAAAAAAATCACAAAATGTCATTTGCAACCATTAAAATTTAGAAATACAATGTTTTAGGGTTTGCATCAAACCACAATGATTTGCCATGGTGAAATAAACAAAAAGCAAAATCCTGGAATTCTAAAATTTTGCCAAATTCATCATCTAAATGACTTAACTTCACTATTGCATATATTATATACACAGGCCATAAAGGGAAAACCTGTTTTTAATTTGGGAAATGTTTTATAAGATAAACTAACACTGACTCTTCGGTGTAAGTATAATATAATGGACTGTCATTCTTACTCAGTTTGTGTTATAATTTCTTTGCTGCAATTTATTTTGCTTTAAAATACACCCCTGTTACAGAAAATCACATTAAACTAAAGAGTGCCTTTAAAATTCAGCAATTTCTAAGCACCCACTAAGGCACATTACTTACTGTTAAGTAAAACAAATAGACATATGGAAGGTTTTGCCAACTCTTCGTCATCAATCATTTCTTGCGTTTGAGAGGTGGTTTATATTTTTCAAAGGGCTTTCACACTTGATGTCTTGTTTATGGCTCACACAAATCCAGTGAGGGAGAGAGGGCACTCATTAGCCCCAGCTGCTCAATGCGGCACCTGGAAGCAAGGAAGTGACGAAGAACACATAGGAACCTAGGTGGAGGGGGCGCCTGGGTGGCTCAGTTGGTTAAGTGTCTGCCCTCAGCTCAGGTCATGATCTCAGAGTCCTGGGATGGAGCCCTATGTCGGGCTCCCTGCTCAGTGGGGAGTCTGCTTCTCCCTCTCCCTCTGCCCCTCTTACTGCTCATGCTCTCGCTCTCTCTCTCTCTCTCTCGCAAATAAATAAATAAAATCTTAAAAAAAAGGAACTTAGGTAGAGCTGAGACTAAAGTCTCTTCTACCTCTGAAATGATGTAACACTAAGTGCTTGCCGATTTTGTGGGTAGGGAGGGATGGGGCCATCCAAGCATGTGTTCTGCCCCTCTCTCTGCAAGGGCTCTTGAATTCCTCCTCATTCTCTCTGAAAATCTTGGCCATCATCCCATGATAGTGGGATGATTTGTCTCTACCCCAGGTCCACATGTACAAGACTGAATGGAAAAATGTCCCCCAGACAGATTAAACCATGGACAGGAAAAGTAGAGCATCATCACCAAAACCAATGGTGTTTTTGAGTTCCTAGAAAAAGGTGTCACGAAATTCACTGGCATTATCTCATTTACTGCAGACCACTGCAGGAAGTCAATTATTATGACGTCTGTTCTACGGATGATAAAGCTGATGCCCAGATTGTTTACATAATTTACCAACATTTCTGTAAGGAATTTTTAGCAGAACTGAGATTTAAACTCATGTCTTTTCATTCATGCCAAGCCTTTTCTTGCTCCTATGATGGCCCAGTAGATGTTGGAACCCAATATTTTTGGCCCCACCACAGCTGTTTGTACAGTGATAAATTCCTCCTTGGCCTGGAGGGGAGATGCGGAAGAATGTATGGTTCCTGTTTAATATATAAAAACATCTGTTTCAAAGAAACATTTTCAGCAATTTTCTTAAAATAATCTACTTTTGACCCATGGCAAAGAGAAAGAGAACATTAATAATGGTCTCATCGAATTAGTTAAAAATCTGACTAGGTCTCCATTAGACTCTATAAAATCATCAAAGCAAGTCACCCAATTTCCAAATGTTTCTCTCTTTTAACGTTGGATGGTAAGAAAAAAAGCATAATATAAGCCTGTCCAAATCCAGATCTGACAGTTTTAGACATGACCTAACATTGAAGAGAATGCTTTAATATGATGACCTTTATTCCACCTGAAAAAAAATCAAGAAGAAACGATTTAAAGGAAGCTAAATTTCCTCAAGAAGGAAAACGGCACCCCACGGAAAATATACTGAAAGCCAAAGGTCACACGTACGTGGATCCATCCCAGTGTGAGGAGGCCATGTTGGTCCTGAACGCCAAATAATTCTTCCACATTCTCCACGTCACAGTAGTCCGGCCCCGCAGACTGCTTTGGCACAATTACGTGGGTGATAGTAAATTCATTATGTGTCTAAAAAACAATCAGCAAAAAGAATAACAAGCATCTGGGAGAAAAAAAACAAAAACAAAAGACCACAGCCTGAGCTGGAAGTACAATGTTTTGCTGTAAGACTAGAGAGTGCCCCACCATCCACATCCTCAAAATCAAAGCCTCACACTTAAAAATGGATAATCTGCCAAAAATCTGAGAGGTAGCTCTCTGGACCTCAAAACCTCTTTTCACAATAGAAAATGTATAACAAATAGGAGTTCGCATCCCGGGCTGGTCCATGATCGTTCAGTTAATAAATAATGTCTTGATATACTACATTTGCAGAGGAAAAAAGTCCGAACAAAATAGCAGCAGGCTTATTTGGAGGGGGAGATACTAGTTAAACGATTTTGTGGCTTTACTGAGGGACATTTCTAAGGTTTGTGGAGGTTGATGGTCTCGTTTTTATTTTATTAATGATACTTCATTTCACGTCCAGACCTAATTTTCCTCCTGCCACTGGGGGAACTCACTGAGATTTTCCATAAGTAAGGTGATGTTTTGGGTTTGCATTTAGAAAACGAAAAAGGAAAAACACATTGCTCCCTTCAGGTCAAGGGAAGAGTTGAAGGAAGGGGGCTGAGAAGAGGTGATAGGATGCTCAGGGAGGAGCTGCTGGTACTGGGAGGGGCTGTCCGCCCTCCACAAACACCCCCTTCTCTCTGGTCTAAGGGCTTTCCTGCCCCACTGAGAATTAGTCATCTGGCTGGTTCTTCAGAGGCATCATGTGAGAAAGGACTATGGCTGTTGGAGGCTACAGAATGCCAAAACCAAGCGCAGTGCCTGGCACATCTAGGTACTCAGTACATGTCTGTCCGATGAAGGAACGAATGAAGGAATGAGTGAAGAATGAATGAATGACTCCATCAATCAATCAAACTAGGTACCACATATGGTCTTGAGGAAGCATCCAGAGCACATTGCCCCTGAAGGACAAACAAGGTGGCTGAGGGGAGCACAGGGTGGGTCACACTCCTGTGTTGGGTCATCTGTGCTTCCTCTCTCCTGGAGGAAACATGAAGATGCAGAATGGGAATACGGTAGGGACACTGTGTGCTGAATAGAACGTATTCGGTTAAGCAACAGTTCCCAAGCTAAATGTTTAGGGTGGAAAATGCGCCTGGACCCAAGTGACACCATAAAGGGCACCTTCCACAAGACATTATTTAACCTTCTTGCAACTAGCAAATTAAATGCATCTTCTCTCTGTGGCCCTCCTTCTATTTTGACATTGTCTTTCATCACATATTTCTGATAAAATCTTCCATACGTAAACAGGACCTGTGCCGTAAGATTTCAGCTTGTTGAAACTCCTGTCTGCAACTAAAAAAAAAAAACAAAACCCAAACAACAGAACCCTAGTTTTATTCCACATGGATCTGCAAAAGGGTGACGAGATGACACTTGCCTCAGATCAGAACAGGGAGTGAATTAGATAAATATATGGGAAACTAACAATTGCAATAGAAATCTAATTTAGAAAACTAGATGGCTTTGGAAATCTGGAGACCTATAATCCATCATTTTTCCTTTTTAAAAAAAAATTTTATTTATTTATTTGACAGAGAGAGAGAGAGCAGGTGGGGAGGGGCAGAGGGAGAGAGAGACTCTCAAGAAGACTCCGAACTCAGCACGGAGCTGGACTCGGGGCTCGATCTCACGACCCTGAGATCATAACCTGAGCTGAAACCAAGAGTCGGATGCTCAACCGACTCAGCCCCCCGGGTGGCCCTAATCCATCATTTTTTTAAACAAAGGTTTACATGTGGTTTGATTCATTCTTTACAACAAGTTTTTACGGTATCCCTAAAATTTTACAACCCATTTCCTGAAAGGACCATTCCACGAATAATGACAGTGGTTTTGTGTTCATTGATCTAGGTAAAGATAACCTCATAATTTTTGCAACTGTTAGGATGCGTTTATTCTGTTCTGCTTATGACGAGAAAGTCATGACGACTGAACGTATCGTGGGCAGAAAGATATGAAACAAAGGGCATACCAGTTTTCCACAGAGTATTCCACAGGTTTCTATTCCTCTGAGTGTGTTAGATTCTGCCAGCAACAGAAATCTCTGGCAAAGGTCTCTTGATAAAACTACACACCGCAGTCCTTCGACCACTAAATCTAAGAAACAGGAAAGGCAGAACAAGCTAAAGAAACAAATCTTACATCCCATCCATCAGAGCTGTTTTTGGCAAGCAACTGCAGGGCCATCGAAACATAAAAGATGAAATTTTCAGGTGCTCCACTTTCTGTATTTTATTTTTAAACTCTTTAACAGTAAGCATCAATGAGAAGGAAGGTAAAATTCCGCTTTGCCTATAAATTGTCTCATGAACAAGCGGGGAGGCACCAGCATTTTAACACCTTTGCACCTTAGATCAACTGTTTACACGTATGTGTGAGGTTTTTTTTTTTTTTTTTTTTGTGGCACAAAGCAAATACACTGCTAAGTGCCAAGGTTGCAGAGCATATATCTCACAGACCGTAAGACATAGGAGAGATGCTCTTCACTGTGTCTTCCACATGTTACTTTATGTCTTTATGGGAGTTGGTGATGGTTAAATAAGAGCACCGTTTTCAGGAATAATTCGCGATGGGGTAATTTATAAAGCGGTTGCCTACCACAACTCTTTTAAAATAAATGGAAACAAGACGCCATCCGACAGGGTCTGCGTTTGGATTTGGGAACTTGTCGGCGGGGATGGAGCCGCCCCCGAGCAGCCCTAACTGTGGGCAGAAGCACATAATCCACCTGGAGGTTGACTACCTGTGTGAGCAAGACCCTCCTGGGGCAGGTAAAGGCGAAACATTGACGTTTTAAGCCGAGGTCTGCGCCAACCATTTTCTCGGCATCTTCTTTCCAGTGTTTAAGTGTCCACCTTTAAGATTCAGGTGTTTCTTGGTAGAAAATACAGGAAAGAAAAAAAAAATGCTCGGAATTCTCTTTTCAAATCTCTGGCCCCATGACCACATAAGGGCCCCGTTTATGAGAGAGTTGCTGCTCTAAGGGGGGGGGGGGGGAAGCAAATTGTGCTGCCTGAACGTTAGGTTACGGCTGCGGGAAAGCCGGATGGCACTGAAATTCACACCACACCCTGCCGCCGCGCTATCACAGCGGATAATGGGAAGAGGAGCCCTGTCCCAGCCGTCGTGGAAAGGAGGCTCGGTCAGAAGCGCGGCCGGGCCTGGCAGGGAGGCCGCCCGTCACTTACTGTGCACGGCGCTCAGAGCGGCCGCGGGCTTTAAAGCCCGGTTTACGGGAGGTGAGTGCCTGGCGTCAGGGGCCGCCTCGCTCTTAGGAGGCTGGTCTGCGAACACATTCAGCAGGGCACTGTTCCGCTGCGCGGACAAGCAGGACAAAGCGCTCCCGTCAATCTGCTCCGCCAGCGCCGGGGTTTCCTGGCTTCGCATCTGACCCCGGGCTAATTCCTGCTTCTTGAGCTGGTCTTCGAAAAATAGGAACTGCTCAGACTCCAGCTGCTGCTGGCGCATCCGAGCCACCCGCTTCCTTTCGGCCTCGATCAGGCTCTGATGCTCCAGTTGTTTGAGAATTTCCGCCTTGTATTTGTTCTGGAAAAGGCACCAGCCAACTGGGATTAGACATTTAACTTCCCCGCTTGCCAAGGACAGAGAGACACAGACGCTGCGGTGTGCGTGCAGGGACATGCAGGTGACAGCGAGGGAAATAAGAAACCATCACGGCAAGAGCCCCTTAGTCTGATCAAGGCGGCAGCTCCACGTCCACTCATTATGTTACCGGGGGCAGGCCGTGACAGTCACGTCCCCTCCATTCCCCTGCGCGTTAGAAGAATATTAGAAAATCAAGGTCACGGTTGGCAGCGTGGCCTGCCTCACCGATAACCAGAGCAAAGTATCTCGGGAACGGTTCTATCACCCTAGACCTCACTGGCCAATACAGTAGCTGCCAGCCCTGTGGGCTACTTAAGTTTAAATTAATTCAAGTCTAATGACGTTAGACATTGAGTTCCGCAGTCCTGCCAGCCACCTTTTAAGTATCACCTGGCTGGCGGCTTCCGCATGGAACATTTTTCTACCATGGGAGGAAGTTCTGTTGGCCGGTGTTGCCCTAGAACCTCTTGCCTTGGACTCTAGAACTCAGACTGCTGGAACTTTACAGAGAAGGGGGAACCCCTAGGAAACGGTTCTCAAAATGGGGTCGAATCATCTCCATCAGGACGAGTCAGGAATTTTGTTAGAATGAGGATTCCCAGGCTCCCTAGTCTTAGAAAAAAAAAATCCAGGCATTATTAGGTCAGAGAATATAAATCTTTAATAAGCTCCTCAAATGGTTTTGATTAAAAGTCACTTTGGGAAGGGCAGGGTGGGGGACACAGCTTACGGCAGCAGTTTGGGGGTGTGCACGAATCCCCCAGGGTCTCGTCAGAAGGGCTGATTCCGACTCAGCAGGAGTGGGGGGTGGCCTGAGAGTCTGCATTTCGAACAAGCTCCCGATGATGCCCGTGCTCCCTATAGCAAGGGCTTACTGATGGGCATGTCCATCTCTCCTAGGCATAAAGGCTGCCACTCTATCTCCACACAGATTTCTCTGTGACATATACTTCGGGACACTGTTGCCCACTGGGACCAAATTGGTGTCATCAAAGGCAGACCGGGCTGTTCCTCTCTGGGAGACCCTGAGGGGACGACCACACGCACACTGCTGATGGGAAGGAAGACTGGCCTGGGCCTTTCTCTCCTTTGCCGTTGCTTTGTCTGAACCTCCAAGAGCATTCTCATCTATCATACTTCAAGTCAAATCCAAATCATCCATAGCCGCACTTGAGGCAACGTTCAGATTTCAACATTCCCTCTGTCCCTTGGTCAAAACGCCGCACTCAACCCTGACTTCCAGCTACGCCCACAGGAAGCCCGGAGGTTCCCGGGGCCACATTCAGAGTTCATGAGCCTGAACTCAAGCGAGAGGCAGCACAAGTGACAATTTCAAAGCACATAAACACACAGTCCAACAAAAAAAGCAAAGCGATTTTTATAACATTGCTGAAGACATTAAGAGTTTGAGTTTTGAACTCGAGGTCCTAGAGATCAATTTTTTCTCTTAATGCCATTCAATCTCTTAGACATCATTATCATTGTCACTCTTTATGTAATAAGGATGCAGAAGCCACCATCCATTGGTGATACGATTACATTTCACTCATATGGTTAGCTATTATTCCCTCTCAATGTAATATTGACTGTAAGACTGAAGAATCGAATTCACATTTCCAAGGCCTGCATAATAAGGTAAGTCAGAAACTATGTACTATTCTCCCTATCTCCCACTGCCTCTGTTCATCACCAAAGAGCAGTCATCTGCCTCAAGGTTACAGTGGCCAAGAGTTGGTCAAAAAGCTCCATTTAAATTCACTGTAGGAAGTTTATTTTCTAATGCATTACATGATTAGATGTTGCAGGGTAATAAAAATACCACATCTTTGGTGCAAGTGCTTAACCCGTATATCAACATGAATTTTTTATTGGTTTTACATCACTGCGTCTTTAATTTTTAATTTAAATGCACAAGCCATTTGAAAAACTCACATGAACATGAAATTAAAAAAAATGTTTGCACAGAAAACAGTCATGAAACAAATGTACCAATTGAACTTACTTTGCTTTGCAAATATTCTTGGTATTCTATGTTATATTTCTTTAAAAGGTCCTTTTTCAATTCATCTGTCCTTGGGAATGCAATCTCCTTCAGTTTCTTTTAAAAATATATATATACATATTGATTAGTGGGATTCTCAGTATAGTCTTTCAGATCATCAGCTGAGAAAGAAAAACAACTTGTATGTGTATTAGAAATCAAGACACAAGTAACCAAAGATGATGGTGGACATATAAACCTCTCCTTGCTATGGCTCCGAAACACAAATTTTCAGTAGGGAAGGGAAAGCATTATCCCTCTCGTAAGACCTCAATCGACTCGGTTAGATAAGCATTCCGTCTAGGTAGGCACCCCGTTTTTAAGCAGTGGGTTTGTAACTGCACATTCCACTGTATGCAAATGCTATGGCATCATAGTTCGAAGCGACGCTGGAGAACACAGTAGGTAGGGATTGCTACGCTTGACTGCAAAAAAAGAGGCTGAGGCACTTTGTATACAAATACAGATTCCTAGGCCTCCTCCCAGTTCCCCTGAATCAACATGTTTAGAGAAGGGGTCGGGGGATCTGGATCTCAAACAATTTTCCCGTGATTCTTCTTAGTGGACAGAAAATCTGGGAAATCTGATTAAGTCCAAGTACCACCCTCCTTTTCAGAGATGAGGGAACAAAGCCCTATAGAGATTAGAAGTACTACTAGCTAGTGGCCCCATTATGACTAGAATCCAAATCTGACTCTGGCCAGGCTCTTCCACTAAAATTTCTTTTCTCTTAATCTTCTGCCATCCATCCATCCATCCATCCGTCCATCTATATCCATCCTCCCATCTATCCATCCATCCTCCCATCCTCCCACCCATCCATTTATTCAACAAGCATAAACAAAGAAAATGTATATGCTTTCAGAAAATGGCTTCCTATGAGAAGAAATAAGAATAAAACTAAATCAGAGTAAAAGAGTCAGCTTGGCAGAACATACAGAACAGCCTGAGTTTGAATGAACAAGAGAATTCGGTGGAAAGGCTACACAAGGCATGGCAGTGAGTGCCCCTTCAGATAAGTGTGTATAGAAATTTTTAAAAATGTAGATGACCATTTGACACAATCTGGGTTCTTACAGGCAGCCTCAGGCCAGACATAGTGGTAAGAGAGCCTCTTGTCCATTATATGGTCAAGCATCTTCGGAGAGTTACTTAAAATTTCATGGCTTTGTATATACCGTGTTATCTTCCTCCATATATAAGATCAACCAAACTACTTAACACAGATACATGGGAAACATTTTAAAAATGTTATTTAAAAGGATATATATATATATATTCTCAGCTAAAAATACTTGAAGCTCTATCGGCTGCCAAGGTTGACGGTGAATACAGAACTTTTCAGCAAACATCTTCCTTTTCCTTGAGACTATTTCAAGCCACCCCTTACCCTTAAACACTTGATTACGCCGTAGGCTAGCACCCCACAACACCTTCATAATATCCTGCTTTTCTGGGTACTACAAGAAAAGAACTAGAACTTTGGGGTCACCTTAATAATCAACACTGATTTTCAAACACTTCTGAGGTTCAGGACTGTATGGAAGAATCAAAACCCGCCAAAATGACTCTCAAACAAATCCGGGGAATTGAACCACCTTTCTTGCAATCCCTGGGAAGAACAGTGAATAATTCCTTCTTCTCGCCACAAAGACATTGAGCACATTCTCGATCTTTTTATTTTCTCCCCCCTTCCAGTTTCAATTAGACATCCCACACTGGCTCTGGAGCAATGATTAAAGGTCCAAGAAGAAATCGAAACATCTTGGCTAATGGAATGAATTTTCTGTGCTCAAACTCTCCAGAGGATGAGATGAAGGAAGGGAGGAGGAGGAGGAGATCAATAATGGAGACATGTGGAGCATTTGACCCCCGGGGGGAGAATCGACCTCACAATACCTTCATAATATCCTGCTTTTCTGGGACTGCACATTGCTGATAATCTCGATGGCTGGGAAGCTTTTCTACAAACAAGCTAGGAAAAGAGAAAGCACATCCTTAGCATTATATGACAGGAAAAGCTCAGCGATGGTTTCTTTTTTTCTTAAAGATTTTATTTATTTATTTTGAGACAGAGAGAGAGAGAGAGAGAAGGCATGCATGAGCAGGGGGAGGGGCAGAGGGAGAAGGAGAGGGAGAGAAGTAGACTCTGCTGAGCGCGGAGCCCAGTACGGGGCTCGATCTCACGACCCTGAGATCACGACCTGAGCTGAAACCAAGAGTCAGACACTAAACCAATTGAGCCACCCAGGCGCCCCTGTCAGTGAAGGTTTCTAATACGAGAACGAAACTCCTTTTCAAAAAGGACGTGCTTAATACATCATTATTTAGCCTATATTCATTCCATCAGCCGTTCCACCAAAGGCTGGCATGAGTATGATTTTGGCATTACAGGGAAGTAAGCTCTGTGGACTGAGCGCTGAGGCTAAGAGGGTCAGGATGCTCCCTAAGAGACCATGTCAATTTGGTCCCTCTTGGGTCCTGGGTGCTTGATCCGCCAGAACACTATCTCACTCACGTATGCTGCTGGCAACACAGAGGATCATGTAAAAATGTTAAGAGTTTAGGAAGATCGGAGTGGTGGGGGTGGGAGGGATGGGGTGGCTGGGTGATAGACACTGGGGAGGGTATGTGCTATGGTGAGCGCTGTGAATTGTGCAGGACTGTTGAATCACAGATCTGTACCTCTGAAACAAATAATGCAATATATGTTAAGAAAAAAAAAAAAGAAGATAGCAGGAGGGGAAGAATGAAGGGGGGGAAATCGGAGGGGGAGACAAACCATGAGAGACGATGGACTCTGAAAAACAAACTGAAGGTTCTAGAGGGGAGGGGGGTGGGAGGATGGGTTAGCCTGGTGATGGGTATTAAAGAGGGCACGTTCTGCATGGAGCACTGGGTGTTATACTCAAACAATGAATCATGGACCACTACATCAAAAACTAATGATGTAATGTATGGTGATTAACATAGCAATAAAAAATTAAAAAAAAAAGAGTTTAGGAAGATCAATGTAATCTCTTCTTACCATTGAAAAAGACTCAGAGGACCACTGATGAGTCAGGAGTGCCATGGTGTCTATGTGTCTATATCGAAAATTCTTTTTTTTTAAAGATTTTATTTATTTATGTGTGTGTGAGAGAGAGGGAGAGGGAGAACGGGGTGGAGCCGAGGAGCCCAGCGCGGGACTCGATCCCAGGACCCTGGGATCGTTACCTGACCGAAGGCAGACGCTGCACTAACCGAGCCACCCAGGTGCCCTGATATCAGAAACTCTTAACTGAAAATTCACAACTAAGAGAAATGACAGTCAGAATCCCTAGTGGATGAGGAGGTGCTAATTAGGAGTTCATTATTTTTCATCACTTTTTTGAGGAACAAGGGACAGCAGAGGTAAAGGGAAATCCTTAGACCAAATCAGATGCATCACTTCCACGTAAAATGAAGATTTTGCTTTCACAAGGGCAGGGAATTCTGGGTTTCTTTTTTTCTTACTGAAGTATCCCTAGCCAGTAGAATAGTGTCCAGCTAATGATGTGTGCTCAGTAAATATTTGTTGAATAAATGAAAAGTCCTTCCTTGATAGACCATGATGGGCTATAAATACTATTTAAGATCAACTAATACATGATACCTTATAATTATTGGTGTCCTCTCACAGATCACACGTGCTCTCATCATGTGGCCTACAGGGGACACTGGGTTGGTAAAATAACTCATTTCTTGAATGAGGAAGTTATGGTTTAAAGAGGCTACAGAAATTGTTAGTTGCCTAAAGTAGCTATTTTTTATAAATAGAATAAAGTCACAAATGTTTGGAGTTGAAGAGAGCTTAGAGAAGTCTTCCATTTGGAGATAAGAGAGACTTCTGCCCCTACGTCTTCCATTTGTAATGAGGAACTGAGGCCCACGGGGGATACGTGCATTGCAGATTGTCACGTGGTTCACGACAGAAGGGAACTCCAACATTCTGGTGACTCGGTAATGTGGACAGTGGAGTGGTCTTTCGCTTAACCACACTTACGACCCCACAGGAACGTGGGCAAAAAACACCAGCAGAAGGCAACACAGAAATATTAGCAACTGGTGACCTAGAGTTCAGAAATTAAAGTTTTTGGAGAATGTGTGCTATCAATTCTGCCCAACAGCTTCCGATTTCATATTTATTGTTAGCTCTCTAGAAACCAGTGGTTTCCCCATGTAGGCTGAGTGTTGCCAACTGTCCAGTTCTCAGATGTTCTCAGGTTAAGTCCCCAAGTGAACGAGGGAGTCAATCATCATGTGACTTTTAATTAAGCTAAAAGTACGGGTTTCAGGTAGCTGCTTTCACTCAACACTTTGGAAGCTCTTTTATACCTAGCACTATTACACAGCTAAATAAATTGACTCTTTTTTTTTTAATAGATTCTATTTATTTGAGAGAGAGAGTGTGAACGAGCGGGGGTGGGGGGCAGAGGGAGAAGCAGACTCCCCACTGAGCAGGGAGCCTGATGTGGGGTCGATCCCAGGACCCTGGGATCATGACCTGAACTGAAGTCAGTTGCTTAGCCGACAGAGCCACCCAGGCACCCCAATAAATTGCCTTTTTAAAAAATACTAACTAGGGGCGTCTGGGGGTGGCTCCATTGGTTAAGTGGCCGAGTCTTGATTTCAGCTCAGGTCATGATCTCAGGATCCTGGGATCAAGCCCCATGTCAGGCTCCAAGCTCAGTGGGGAGTCTGCTTGAGATTCTCTCTCCCTGCCCCCTCCCACTCTCTCTCTTTCTCAAATCAATAAATAAATCTTTAAAAAAATACTAACTACAATGTGAAACTGCTACTTTCTATCCCTGAATCAGATCCTTCCTATAACTGCCAACTTACCGCCCCGTCCCAACCTATCAAGTCAAATTTTAAAACCGTTAATGGTCTGTTCCAGGCGCTGGTCTGTTCCAAGTGCTGTGGATGGTGCTGCAATATGGTTCCTGCTCTCACAAAGCTGACATTCCTGTGGGGGGAGGACAGCATAAAACAGGACATTCTCTTGGTGAAGAGTGCCAAAGACAGGCACATGCACGTCACTACACAGGGCTATTGAGAGACTTGTTCATGTCCCTGAGGCTTGCTCCATGCCTGAGCCTCAGAGCTGGTGTGGGGATGCCTTTGAATACATTACTTGGTAACCTAAAAACGTGGGACAGTTAATGCTTTTGGAGATTGCAAAACTGGTCTGAATATGAAAATATTCCTGAAGTCCAAACCGTTTCACTAAAACAGCATGTAAATATTTTCCCATTTTGAAGACCTCCCAAACAAAAGACTTACGTTATAAATTTGTTATAAAGGACAAAGGCATTTTCCAAATTTCCTTCTTCCAAATACACTGACGCCATTCTCTCCATCTCTACTCCAGATCTAAAGTAGCGGCGTGGGGTGATATCTTCAGTGATGGTGATATTACACCCGAGCTTGCTGAGGGCACGGACTCGCTCCTCTGGGCTGAGGGAGACATCCGTATGGTCAGGCAGAGCAGCTAACTTTTTCTGCAAAGCAAAAATGGAACCTCTGAGTAGAAATAAGAAATGAACAGGACTGAAATTACAGGTGTATTTTCTGCACTAAATACCCGACACCAGTCCCTAAGGAAAGCATTTCCTAAGAGTTAATGATACCATAAAAGTGCAATCTTTGTGCAGAAACACATGGGCCAGACACCAAGAAGACATGTATCTCTAGGATAGACACACCTTTGTGTTGGGGGCAAATCTCCTTTAGGGTTCAGGGTACAATTATGTGGCAGTTCCTGGGTATGCAAATGCTTTAGGTCATTTTAGGTAAAGTATCATTGACCCTTATGTCCTCATGGATACTTCCATTCCGGCTCACGTGAAGCAGACCAGCAGGTGGACTCTTGTCTGGGGAGGGCTCACATCATGCTCCTCTGAGGGGTCTCCAAGAGGTGGTCTGCATTCAAAAGTTACTCTAAGGATTCAATGCTCTTCCACTATAAATATATCCAGTTTAATAAGAAGCTTTTAGGACCTGTTTTTTCACCAAGTGAACAAAACCTCACCAATAAGTCCTTTTCAAGGATACCCCCTATTTCTTTTTAACATAAAAAGACTCTTAGACCTGCACATAATAATTATAGTACATTAACAGGCACGGTTAATTAGTCCCTGACTGAGAAAATAATGAAAATCATTACTAAGAAAAAGTCAGTGATATTAAGACATACATTTGTACTTTATTCATAAAAATAGCATCTGTACACATTTGGGAAAACACAGAACGTATGTATTCAGGATAATTATTCAATGATTCAATGAAAAGCTCAGTGCTTTGGAAAGGCAAAAAAGTCAACAAATCTTTTTTCTGTTGAAGGCCGGATAGCAAACATTTTGGGCTTTGCAGACCCTAGAGTCCCCACCACAACTACTTAGCCCTGCCGATGTGCAAGCAGCCACAAACGTAAGCAAATGATCCTGGCTCTGTTTTCAAAAATGTTTTCAAAACAAGCAGGTGACTTTGGCGCTCAGACCATGGTTTGCTGACCCCAGCTTCAGACCACTGCTTCTCCAAGTACGGTCCATGCTCCAGCAGTATCAGCATCAACTGGGAGTTTCTTAAAAGTACAAATTCCCAGGCGCCTGGGTGGCTCAGTCGGTTAAGCGTCTGCCTCTGGCTCAGGTCATGGTCCCAGAGTCCTGGGATTGAGCCCTGCATCGGGCTCCCTGCTCAGCGGGGAGCCTGCTTTTCCCTCTGCCATTCCCCCTGCTTGTGTTCTCTCTCTCACTGTGTCTCTCTCTGTCAAATAAATAAATAAAATCTTTTAAAAAAAAAGTTAAAAAAAAAAGTACAAATTCTCAACAGGCATCCCCTGGCATCTACAGATTGGAGGCAGGCTTGAAGAACCCATGTTTCAACTGGTGTTCCCAGAGGCATTGATGCATGCTGCAGTTTGAGAAACGCTGCTTTAGACACCTCTAGCAACCTTTGATCAACAGAAATGGAATTAGCCCAGAGCAAATTTAGCTCCCCGAGTCGGCCTCTGTCAGTCAAGGGCAGCGCATTTGATTAAAAGGTCTGTAGGAAGTTAAAAAAGAAATCCACAGGTGGAATGGTTTTAGTCTGGCCATGAATGACGGATCCAAGCTGTCAGGGCAGGCTGCAATGAATCTTCCGATGCCCTGGGGGGGTCCACTGTGGTGGCAATTTTGTAACAGATAGAACCCTAGAGACCTGGAATGATTCTTCTTTCTTTCTTTTTTTTTTTTTTTTAAGATTTTATTTATTTGAGAGAGTGAGCACGAGCAGGAGGGAACAGCAGAGGGAGAGGGAGAAGCAGGCTTCCCGCGGAGCAGGGAGCCCGATGCGGGGCTCGATCCCAGGACCCTGAGATCACGACCTGAGCTGAAGGCAGACGTTTAACCCACTGAGCCACCCAGGCGCCCTGATTCTTGTTTCTAAAGGTGAAATTTATAACCAACCAGAGAGGCATAAACCTGTTCTCCTCCCCGTTTCCTTCTCCCAAGAGGAGGCTCTCAGGGCCTGGGCTTCCTGGTGCTGAAGTCTCCAGCGATCCTTCCTGAGATTGGGTGGCCAGTTCAATTTAGAGCGGAAGGGATAAGGAGACTTACTAGTCTCCCAGAATCTGTCTCCAGGGCCAAGTGATAAAGAATAAAGCGTACACTGGATTTTTGACCTTGGCATCTTCAGTCAATTACCTTTGGTCCAGAATTCTGAGAACAGAGAGGTGTGACTGAACATAACCCCCAGCCCTGCCTCAGTGACCTCACCTTACATAAAGGCACACTTCCTTCTAGCCAAACCCTGTCTTGCTCCTCCTCTCGTTTTCAAAAAGACTTTCTAATTTCTGAGAAGCCGCCAGAGGCTTCCCCTCCTCAGAAGCAGGAATCGAAGCTTGTGACGTCTGAGCCTCAGGCCTGAGTGTGTGCCTTGTCTGAGCCGCAGCCCGCCCTTCCCTCACCCAGAGCGCCCAGCAGCCCTCAAGGAAAATGCTGCTATTCGACCACAGGTGAAGGCGTCAACGACATCAGAAAATGATCGGGAAAAAAAACTATGGAAATTAGCACATTTTTCCAAAGGGGGTTTCCAGGATCCTGAACGTGCAAAAGTAATTTGCCCACTTTTTATTACTGTACAGTCCGCACTGAATTACAATTATTTGTGTGCAGTGTCCATCCATCCCTGTTTCCTAGGATGTAGCATGTTCCTTGCAGCACAGACGATAATCAAAACATGTACCAAATAAAAGAGGAAGAGAGAAACAGGTGCAATGTGATTGTAACTGGATTATCTTTTTACCAGGAAGTAAAAGTAAGATTTGTTTTTGCTCTCCTGAATGGTCCTATCCTTCCCAAATTAGCAAAAGTGATTTCAGAAGTAAACGGGGAAAGAGCCTCAGGTCTTCATCAATCTCTAATGTTGGGTTTGTGATACCTTACAAAATACAAAATCTCCAGATGAAAAAGCCTTAGTGTTCATTTTACAGTGACATGTCCACTAACATTTTAATCATTGCTACCTAATGTTCTAGAAAACACCTAAGACGTGCCAAAAGGATGATCCCTTCCTCTGCAGGTAGGAAAGGGGGCTGCCTTTACTCCCCCACAGTGCCCCGACAGCATGGGGTCAGAAAGTGAAGAAGTTCCTACAGTTCTCTGCTCCTCCTCCCGTCAAAGCAACTGAGCATCTGTGAAGGACATTCCTGGCAAGGAGGATGGGGGTCACGACCTATTTCAGAGCAAGAACCAGGCCCTCCATTTCTTTGTGTTTTTTTTTAAGATTTATATATTTATTTATTTGACGGAGAGAGAGAAAGAGCAGAAGGGGAGCAGCAGAGGGAGAAGCAGGCTTCTCGTTGAGCAGGGAGCCCAATGCGGGGCTCCATCCCAGGACCCTGGGATCAAGACCTGAGCCAAAGGTAGAGGCTCAACCGAATGAGCCACCCAGGCACCCCCTCCATTTCCTTGTGATCTGGGGCTAAAGCTTTGCGAGTGCAGGTATTCAGTATACTGCTGGTCGTCAGGAGAAGGCTAACAGTCGTGAGAGCTTCCTTTGATCAAGACTCCACGATTGGCTGGGAACATTAAAAATATTGTCCCCAACTGTCGTAATGTGCCAAGTACAAAAATGGGGCCATGGAGGTTATATAATGTGCCTACATTCTCACCCAGAGAATGATCTGGGACTCACACTATGTCCCTGTGATCCCAGGGCTCCTGTTATTTCGTCTCAGGCATGTTGTTCCTTCTAAGATGTACCTCGAGAAGGCACGGACCGTGTTGGGTTCTAAAGGGCAAAGTGAGAAGAACGAGAATTTCAAGTGTGGAGACCTTTACACCGGATCCCAAAGTAACATCTGCGTGTCATATATAGAACGTCTCCCTCGGTCATTACCACACAAGGGAAGCTTCCAGTTTTTATCCGTGAAGAAGCTGAAGCACAAAGAGGTTGAAGTCCCTGCTTACAAAGTCAATTCTGAAGTTCCCCTCCCCCACACTCCTGGAATCTAACCAGAGAGATTAAAATTTCACGCTTTTGTGGACAAAATGAATTATTTTTAGCTCTAGCAAAGATGGCTTTATTAGTCACTTCCTCAAAGGAGAGGACCCCACAGATGGATGAGGAGCGACAAGTGCTCAACTTTGTGAAGTAACGGTGACTCATTTCACATGTGTTATGTTTTTGTTCTTCTTTCTGGGTTTTCAGGCCATATGTAGGGTATCAGTTGGTGCTACCTACCAGAGAATTCACAGTAAATGGCTGATCCATGTTGTCCTTTCCACAGAACGAAGGTGTTCACTGTTTCTTCTCAATCACTTCATCTGTTTCAAAGACAAAAAGCAGAGCTACGGTTATTTATCTAATTTTTTTTTTTTTTTGAGAACGCAAGTCTCAAATCTCAAACCCCAGGGTTATTTCTGGCTCAGAATATAAACACATCGAAATGACTTATATAACCTGAGTTTTTAGAGAGACTTTGGAAATCTCTTCCTGAAAATACACAACGGCAGGTGGTTAAAAGCAGGCCTTAAGAGCAGACCTTTTAAAGCAGGGGTTTGACGAGAATACACTATTGCTTAGCACCCAGTGTGTCTTCTGGGGGTTTTCTTACTCAGAACTCCATGCAAGGTTATAAAGTGGGTTTACTTTGTTCAAAGGGAGAAAGATCCTAACTGTGAAGAGCCTGGACACTGGGGCCATGGACTCCCACAGCTGGAGTCCGTCTGGGCCTAGGTTGAGATTTACTAGCTGTGGAAGGCAGAATTATAAGACAGCTCTCTGACTCCTTCCCCTCGGTATCCAGGGGTTTGTGTAACACCCCCCCAACTTTGAGTGTGGAGGAGACCTGTAACTGACTTCTAAACAACAGAACACAGCAAAGGTGATGGAATACTACTCCCATGTTTACGTTATGTCACACAGCAGGGATGAAGAGATGTTGCAGACAGATTAAGCTGTCTAACCAGCTGGATTGAAGCAATCCAAAGAAAGATGATCCTGGGTGGGCCCGGCCTAATCAGGGGAGGCCTTTCAAAGACTGAGACAGTCTCCTGCTGGCCTTGAAGACTCAGCTGCCATAAATACCACAGCCACAGGGAAATGAATTCTGCCAGTAATCATGAGAGATTGGAAGAGCACCCCGAGCCTCAGATGAGACCCTTACCCTGGTCAGCACCTCCACTGCTGCCTTGTGAGATCCTGAGCAAGGGACAGTGGGGGAAATAATATGATCTATGTCATATTTTTGTGATAAGGATGAAATCAGTGAGCATATGAAGTGCTTGGAATAGTTGCTAGCACAGTCAAGATTATAGACGTGTCAGCTATTATTAGAATCTTTATTTTGCAGTTGTAGAAACTGAGGCTCAGGGTTACGTGAATGTGCTCAAGTTCAAATAGTCACTCCATGAATATTAATTAGTCTCCTCTCTTATGCTACTTCAGGTCAGGCTCTGCATTCACCACTTCCCACTTCTAAATTCATTTTGGCCTTTTACTCCACTAAATTATTTATGTGATGCTGGGCACATCTTCTCTTTAGTTCCTCATTTATGACAAGAGGAGCTTAACCTACATTCATTCATTCAGATCACAGCATTCTGTGATTCTAGAAATCTCACATGTAGATCATTCAACCCTTCCTGCTTTTTCTCTGGCCTGAATCCATGCCTGAGAAACCCTCCAAGGAAAGTCACGTGGCATGTGCTCATCTTTCCCCTTCATCCTCTCTAGTGATGCCTGGAATAAACAGGGAGATCTAAGCTTGCAGGCTGCAGAAATGGCTGGGAAAGAAATGACCTGGGGAGTGCCACAGTCACAGTGTAGCTTAAAACCCTAATTAATTCTGGTGTTCTGGTGTCACAGAGTGTAGGCAACTTCATTTGGGGAATTACCAGCCCTCAGTAAGAAGAAATAAACCAGGGAAAGAAAGGAAAGAAAAGAAAAGAAAAAAAAGGAAAGAAGGAAGGAAGGGAGAGAGGAAAGGAAGGAAGGAGTGAAGGAAGGAAGGAAGAGAAAGAAAGAAAGACATTAAAACAGTTAAAGAGACAGAACAAAAAGGCTTATGGGGAATTTGGGGCTGGGTGGGGGGAAGGGAGGGAAGGGGACAACGAAACACTAGTTAGTCATTGACTAGGGTCTTGTGAAAGCCTAGAGTTATTTTTGGGGAGTTACTCAGATCCTTAAATGGAGACAAATAATTTTTAAAATTAAAAACATTGTAACAGCAGTTCTTAAATTTTACTGTATCTAAAAGTTATGCAAGCCTGAGGCTTATTTAATGCAGATTCCTAGAATCTGAATCCATCATTTGTCAGCCCACCAATTGGCACTGATGGTTAGGATGTGGCCCAGGTAAATCTGATACACGAAGTTTCCAAAGAATACTTTCAGAGATGCTGTCTTTGGGAATGCATCAAGCAGGGTTCTTAGTTGCAAGCGAAGGCACTGACTCTTGAATTCATAGGATAGTAGAAAGATCACAGATTTCCAGGAGGGCCAGGGAAATGGGGCTTGGAGGCTACATATCCAGAAACACCCCCCCAAATCACTCGGCAGCACTGGTCTGATGGGGAGGGGGCCCCCCCCAACTTCCAGCATCACCACCAGCGGCCATGTCTTGCTTGATGTCACCAGTTTCCAGTTCAAAGTATGGGACGGGGGTGCGTGGCTGGCAGAGCCTAGGTCACATGCTGGCAGCCTGGCACCGGAAAAATGCAAACCCCCAGCACCTGACACTTCCACAGGAGGTGGTGGGATGTGCCCAGTGAGAAAAGGTACCGGGTGGCCGGCCTGGGTGGCCAAAAACAATGATGAGCATGCACAAGACTCAGACGTCTCTGTAATGAGCTTCTGAATGTACAAAATGTGTAATTCAATATATCTTGAATACCAGATTTTATTACTTTGCCATAGATGCAAACCCATCACTATTAATGCCCACACATAAATTTATTTATAATTCAGAAATAGAAACCAACTCCCCTCAAATCTAAGATGAAAGAAGTTTATAGATCGGTCGGTCAACTTATTTCTTTGGACCATTAACTACTCAATGGCAGTGGTCCTGTCTTAATTTGTTTTTTTAACCTCTAATCTTAGCATGTATCAGTTTCAACACCAACTATCACCCAAGTCAACATAACCAGTTATGTTCTCTTGACCAGTAGCTATCCAAGTGTGGTACAGGATCCCCAAGACCCCTTTAAGGGGTGTGCAAGGTCAATATTATTTTCATAATATCACTCAAACGTTATTTGCTCCTTTACTATCAATATGTCACAATTCTGCAGTGGAGACTTCTAGAGGGTCCAAGTTAACTGAATGCTTATCTGCATATTCCTGTCAATGTCCGTTTCAATTTTCAATATGGTAAATATAAATCCATATAGCCCACATAAGCAAAGTTTTTTAGTATCCTGAGTACTTTTTAAGAGTGCAAAGGGGTCCCAAGACCAAGACATTTGAAAAACACTGCTCTAGACCAACTACGCAAACAAACAAAACAAAACAAAATCTCGCCATGTGACTTCAATCTAAACACAAATAGTGTGGTCCAGAAGAAACTAAAAGAGAAAAAAATACATGTTGAGTATCACCTTCCGTTGGCGCTACTGGGGTCCTGCTAACATAATTTAAAAAGCTGAGGGCAGGTGCTCCTGGGTGGCTCAGTCGGTTAACTGTCTGACTGTTGATTTCGGCTCAGCTGGTGATCTCAGGGTTGTGAGATCTAGCCCCGCGTCAGGCTCCAGGCTCAGCCGGGAGTCTGCTGGAGATTCTCTCTCCCTCTCCCTCTGCCCCGCCCCCTTCTCTCTAAAAAAAAACCCTAAATAAATAAATCTTTTTTTTTTTTAAAGATTTTATTTATTTATTTGAGAGAGAGAATGAGATAGAGAGAGAGCACGAGAGGGGGGAGGGTCAGAGGGAGAAGCAGGCTCCTTGCTGAGCAGGGAGCCCGATGCGGGACTCGATCCAGGGACTCCGGGATCATGACCTGAGCCGAAGGCAGATGCTTAACCATCTGAGCCACCCAGGCGCCCTAAATAAATAAATCTTAAAAACAAAACCAAACCGGGCGCCTGGGTGGCTCAGTTGGTTAAGCGACTGCCTTCGGCTCAGGTCATGATCCTGGAGTCCCGGGATCGAGTCCCGCATCGGGCTCCCTGCTCAGCGGGGAGTCTGCTTCTCCCTCTGACCCTCGTCCCTCTCGTGCTCTCTGTCTCTCATTCTCTCTCACAAATAAATAAATAAATAAATCTTAAAAAAAAAAAAAAAACCAAACCAAAAAAACTGAGGGCACTGTAAGAAGTGCCCGACCTCAACAGAACCTGAGACCCAGAAAAGCAAATGCCATATACTGCTTGATATCTGTGATATCCACTCTCTTTTTCTAGTAGAAAAATATAATTTTTTGATGATATATAACCCAGGTAAAAACCTACATTTTCCAGCCTGTCCTGGCCTTAGACATGGCCGTGTCCCCAAGCCCTGCCAATGGGGTGTGAACAGAAGTACTGGGATCAAAGTCTGGATCGTGCCCTCTAGAGAAAGGGACCCGGTCTCCTCACCCACCCCGGCCCTTCCTGGTGGCTGGAATGTGGCGGAGCAGGTGCGGGGAGCCAGTCAGGAGCACGAGGTAGAGCAAAGCAAGAAGAGAAAGGAAGCACTCCAGTTTGCTTACGCTCAGACCGTGACAGACACAAACGTCTATCTTGTGCAATACTGTGTCTTGTTTAGGCAGCTGGACCTGCATGCTGACAAATGCAATGGTTTAACCTAGAAAGGATGAGGCAGCGTGGCCCAAGGGAGACCGTGGCCGATACCGACAACCCTCCATCATGCCCCCCACGCCCCAGCGCTCGGCTGTGCTGCATCCACGTCTTTGCTCCAGGGACAGACAGTAGCAGAAACATCCTCCTCCCTCCTCGTGACCTCACAACTCACCCAAATCCTGCCCAACCTGGGAGATCCCACATGCCCAGCCAGAAGTTTCACACTTCTTCAGATATTATTAAGCTACAGCCCCAAAGGCAACATTTGATTGTTAAAATGTTTAATTTGGTTATTAGAGTAAATTTAAAAAATTCTAACTTAGTTATCAATATTTAAAAATCAGGAGGTTTCATATAAAAATTCAGGTTTTAGCTTCTCAAAAAAAAAAAAAAAATCAGAGGATCTGGCACCACTGGGCCCAGGACTTGGGACATTGGTTTGTTTTTATCTTCTAACCTGAGTTTAGAACAGTGCCTGCTACTCGTACGTATTTGTTGTGTGAATGAGGAAACAGTTTCCTTAAAGTCTACAGTATACTCCCCATCACATT